TTTATGGGGATGCGGACTTCATTTTCCAGCAGGACTTGACACCTGCCCACACTTCCAAAAGCACCAAAACCTGGTTCAATGACCATGGGATTACTGTGTTTGAGATTGCTGGCCAATCACCTGACTTGAACCCCATAGAGAATCTTTGGGGCATTGCCAAGAGAAAGATGAGAGACACGAGACTGAACAATGCAGAAGAGCTGAAGGCCGCTATTGAAGCATCCTGGTCTTCCATAACACTTCAGCAGTGCCACAGGCTGATAGCTTCCATGCCACGTCGCATTGAGGCAGTAATTGCTGCAAAAGGGGCCCAAACCAAGTACTGAGTACATATGCATGCTTATACTTTTCAGAGGTCTGATATTGTTCTATGTACGATCCTTGTTTTATTGATTGCATGTAATATTCTAATTTTCTGAGATTGTGGATATGGGGGTTTTCATGAGCTGTAAGCTATAATCATCACAATTATGACAAATCATGGCTTGAACTATCTTGCTTTGCATGTTATGAGTCTATCTCATATATTAGTTTCACCTTTTAAGTTGCATTACTGAAATAAATGAACCTTTACACGATATTCTAATTTTTTGAGTTTCACCTGTAGGTGAACACAGCCATCTTAGAATTGGTGCTGACTATAATTCAGGGCCTTCCCTTCTGAGGAGACCATTGTGCTGTCAGGAAGCAGCAGGTGTATGGAGAAATTAGGAATGTGTGTGTCTGTCTGCACTGACCAGACCGATACCTGAAAGATATGGATGCAGATGCAGCAAGTGAACACTATAGTGTTCTGGTCAAAGAGACCAAGATTGAATAGACTGAGAACTGCTATAACCTGAGTGGGTCTGCTTTATAGCTAAAAGGCTGTAGTTGTGCTTTGAATATTGTGTGATACTGAAACCCCCAAATGGATAAACCGAGCACAAGGAAATTTACTTTACAATAAAAGTGGGCAAAAAAAGCCCTTAAAGAAATGTTGTTTAGTGGACTGGGCCCTTAAAAGCTCTACCATTTGATGCCAACTTCCCCGTTATATATTTGTACGGATGTTGTACATACTGTATAATGTGTAGTAACAAAAAAAAGTTAACACCAAAGAAATCTAAAAACAAAAATTACAAAAAAAAAACTAAACAAAAAATAGTATAGTCATTTACTCCTACCTAGAGCTCTGGACATTTTTCTTTCTTTGTTTTGGAAGAAGTGGTGGAGAGCTAAAACTCTGTTGGTTTTTACTATTGAACACATTCTATTAAACTTATTATCACTTTTAGTAACATAGATAGCAGTCATCAAAACAGGAGAGTTTTTCAAAGAGGAAAGCACATACATTTTTCCTCTTCATTGTTGTGTGCATTACTGTAAGGTTCCTTTCGCTTCTTGCAGTAATTGGGGTCATCTGAACAGGAAGTGAGAGGAAATCTTTCTATTGAGGACCCAGACATCAATAAAAAACCTGGCTTAGATTTTAATCCTTCAAAGCACTGATCATAACATTAAAAACTAAGTGTTAAGTCATACTGTTAAGTTTTTCTTATTTTGTGGAATTATTTTCATTCAACAGTGTTATCGCAGATATCAGCTAAATATATTTACAAAAAGAAATGGCCAAGTATTTTCTCTCCCAACTTTTGTTTTTTTTCCTCTCTTTTTTGTGTGGGAATTGCTAGTTTGCAAATGTTTTTTAAGTGGAGCAGAACAACTGAATGTCATAAGAAGCATTAATTAGGTCTTGGCTGCTAGATTAATTTTATGTGTCAATTGGCTTGAAGTGCTGTTTAGAAAACAATTATAGAACAAAGAACAGTGATGACACTCATTCATCACTATCTTTCCTTGTCTAATTGTTTTCCAACATCATGGTTCATCTTGTAATACATACCCAAACCAGCTTTTCTGTCTGGTGTGTGAAAGCTTTCAATATTTACATTGCAATGCAAGCAGAAGTCTGTTCTACATGGCGTGAGGAGTAACATGAAAATTGCTTAAAATAGATACAATTCTATTTTTTAGGTAATGAAAACAGATTAGTCCGCAGTCTGGAAGAAACAAGTTTTGATGGATCGTTCATCTCCTGAGCATAACTTGAACATCTTTAAGCTTCATTTCACAGAATTTAATTAATTAAATATCTAGTAGGTATACACGTATTAATCAGTGGTTTCTGTTGTAATACTTTTAAAAAGTAAAATATGCATACAAGAGAATAGAGGTTATAGTAACAAGCTGTACCTGGTGAATTGTGATTTCCTTTTTTCATTTGCCTTTTTGTAAGGCATTTCCTTTTTTTTAGGCTAGCTGTTATTAATTTAAAAATATTTTTAATAACAAAATCCTGTAATAGACAACTAACCACATGCAGGTATTAGATCTGTGTAGTCGAATTTTAAAATCATATTTATTTCATAAGCGAAATGCCTGTGGTTTGGAAAAATGTTTACAATATCTTATATTTAAAGCCCAACTCCAAATATAGTAATATCTATTTATTTTTAGTTTTTGATTTCTGGATAAACACACTAATGTTATTTTGATACTTTAGAGATCTGTAATTTTTGCTGAGTAGTTCTGATATATACAGCAGAAAAAGTGGGAAGGGTCATCACACATTGGTGCTTAACATTGCTTTAAAATGCAGAAATTGAATGATCACAAAAATTAGGTAGTTTACAAAAATGGTACCATATGTTGTGGGGTACACACTTCTTCAAGCAAGAAGGTAATGTCTGTCAACAAGGCACTTTCAATAGTAATATAATATGAGCTTGAAGACCACAGCATGCCTAAGGAGAACTTCACTTAGAATAGGTAGACAGTTTACTGGGTTGCCCTGACTTCCCCAAAGTTTATCTGGCTCTTGGTGGGAGACATTTCCAAGAAGTTGACAGGTAAGATAACCTGTAAGAGAAAACCTATTCTTTCCATCCTTGTCAGGTACTTCTTCTTAACACTGTTCCTACTCTCTCCTTAAAAAATGTGGCTCTATCTGTGACCTACTCCCATACTGGGGGCAGGCTAATGGATATAGAATCAGCTATTTATGCACGTCTGTATCAAGATGACCACTTTAATCTCATGGTATTTCAGAGCCCAATAGGAAATTTCAATCTCCCCACAATGGCAGCCTGGAGATCCTTGAATCCTCTGAAGAAGCCATGTGATGAATGATGATACGCGCAGTGTGGAGTTGAGTGATGTCATATACAGGAGGTTAATTTGACAACGCCAGAGTGGCACCCTGCAATTGAGTGGATAGTGTTGGCCTTTTCTCTGTAGTGCATCGATGACGTGCACCAATTCATGTGAGAAAACCTTTGTTATCTTAACCCTTATTTTCTTATTTTGGCAAAGGATTGTCTCTATGACAAAATCTCATTTCTGTCCTGCCCCAACCTGGATACTTCTGTTTACAACAGTTCACTGTCATCCACCATGGGCACATTGTCCCCCCTCACTACACACAGAATTAGGCCCCGACCACTACAGCCCTGGAAAGCAGACAATACCAGATGACCCAAAAAACATAGCTGTGCTCTTGAGCATTTATAGTGTAAGACTAAGACCCAGCAAGACTTCGACCAATATAAATCTGCGCTTCAGAAATACAACTCCTGTCTCCACACTGCCAAACAGACCTATTTTATCACTCTCATTAACACCCTCTCATGCAATCACCGTCAACTCTTTTCTACCTTTAACTTTCTACTTCATCCTTCTCATCTTACTCTTGGACCTCTCCGCTGCCTTTCACACAGTTGACCATCCCCTTCTCCTCAAAAAACTCTATTTGCTTGGTCTCCATGGCTGTTCTCTCCATTGGTTTAAATCTTACCTATCTCACTGCAACTTCAATGCCACTTACAACTCTACTTCCTCCTCTCCTACTGCTCTTACTGTTGGGGTCCCCCAAGGTTCTGTCCTTTGACCTTTCCTATTCTGCATCTACACTTCTTCCTTGGGCCAGTTGATAGCTTCCCATGGTTTCCAATACCACTTCTATGCTGATGACACACAAATCTATCTCTCTACTCCTCGGCTCACCTCCTCAGTTTCCTCACATATCACCGATTTACTAACAGACATATCAGACTGGATGTCCCACCACTTCCTAAAACTCAATCTATCCAAAATTTAGCTCATAATATTTCCTCCCCCACATGCCTCTTCCCCTGATTTCTCGGTCAGGATCAATAGCACCACTATCAACCCATCCCCGCATGCCAGGGTGCTAGGGGTAACCCTGGATTCTGAACTATCCTTTCAGGCCCACATCCAATCCCTGTCCAAATCATGCTGCCTCAACATCTGCAACATCTCCAGAATACACCTCTTTTTAACCAATGATACCACACATCTCCTAATTCACTCCCTTGTTATCTATCACCTCGACTACTGCAACTCCCTCCTCATTTGGCTTACCTTAGGCATAGGCTATTCCCCCTCCAGTCCATCATGAATACTGCTGCCAGGCTCATCCACCTTACCAACCATTCAGTGTCTGCTACCTCTCTCTGCCAATCCCTCCACTGGCTTCCACTCGCCTAATGGATGAAATTCAAAATACTAACAACTTAAAAAGCCATCCACAACTCTGCCCCCAGCTAATCAGCAACCTGATCTCAAAATATCAATCAAACCACTCTCTTCAATCCTCCCAAGACCTTCTGCTCTCTAGTTCCTATGTCACTTCCTTCCATGCTTGCCTCCAGGACTTCTCCCAAGCTTCTCCCATCCTATGGAACTCCCTATCCCTATCTGTCTGGCTATCTCCTAATCTATCCACCTTTAGATGTTCCCCCAAAACCTCTGTCTTTAACCGCTAGCCTACAGGGCACTTATACCTCCTTCCTGCCCAGGCCAATTTCCAGCTTTAAGCGCTGTCACACTTTGAATGACAATTGCGCGGTCAAACAACACTGTACCCAGATGAAATTTTTATAATTTTTTTGTTACAGATAGAGCTTTATTTTGGTGGTATTTAATCACCTCTGGGTTTTTTATTTTTTCTTAAACAAACCAAAAACCACAGAAAATTAAAAAAAAAATGTTTTTTCTTAGTTTTTGTTATAAAATTTTGTAAATAAGTGATTTTTTCTCCTTCACTGATGTGCGCTAGTGAGGCTTTACTGATGGGCACTGATAGGCTGTACTGATGGACACTGATAAGTGGCACTGATGGGCACTGATGAGGAGGCACTGGTAGGTGGTACTGATGGGCATTGACAGGCATCACTGATGGGCACTGAAAGGCAGCACTGATACATGGCACTCATATATGGCACTGATAGGCAGCACTGATAGGCGGCACTGACTGGCACTGATAGTCAGCACTGACTGGCACTGATAGGCGGCACTGATGCGTACTGATAGGTGGCACTGATTGGCAGCACTGATTGGCATTGATAGGTGGCACTGATGGGTGACACTGAAAGGCAGCTCAGATGGGCACTGATATGTGGCATTAATGTGCACTGGTAGGCACTGATGTGGCACTGATGGGTACTGGCACGAGGCACTGATGAGCACTGACATAAGGCACTGATGGACACTGACAGGTGGCACTGCTGGGGCTACACTGATCATCAGGGCACACTGATCATCAGTGCCCTGATGATCAGTGTACATGTCCCCTCTGTGGAAAGCCGATTATCGAGCGTGACAGCTCGAGAGGAGAGAAATGCCAATAACCAGCATTTCCCTGTTTACATGTGATCAGCTGTGATTGGACACAGCTGATCACATGACCGAGCCGATATCTTCAGCTCTTTCCATGATCGGTGATCCGCTGTGTCCGAGGGACACAGCACACCACCGATCGCCGCGCGGCGCGCTCCCTGAGCCACGCATGCGCAGTGAGAATGGGAGGATGTCATATGACGTCCTCCCAGAACAAGAGAACCACCTTGCGCCCGAGATGGTTAAAGAAGCCTCTCCTGCTTCTAACTAGTAAATTGCCTTTTATTTCTTCCATTAGCTCATCCCCCACAGCTATTACCTTTTGTATCACTCAACCCTTCCTCCTAGGTTGTAAGCTCTAACGAGCAGGGCCCTCTATTTCCTCTTGTACCAAATTGTATTGTAACTGTAATGTCTACCTTCATTTTGTAAAAGTGTTGTGCAAATTGTTGGCGCCATATAAATCCTGTATATAATAATAATAATAATAATACTGGAACTGGTGTCATTCATCAAAACCTCAGCTTTATATCAGACCTACTCAGCAAAGCTTTGAGAGCTCTTAAACTTTTAGCAACTGTAAGAAACAGTGTAGACATCAAAGGAATGTGGATAGGGGATGTCGAGCATAAAGTGGCAGCATATGCAGATGATATGCTGTTCTATATTACAAACCCTAGATTAACATTACCAAACTTAATGAGAAAATTGAAAGAATACGGAGAGTTATCAAATCTGAAAATTAACCCCTTGAAAAGTGAGATTTTAAATATAAATGTCCCAAAGGCTGAGAAACAAATTTTACAAAAATAATTTCCTTTTACACGGAGGGAAAAAGAACTAAAGTATTTGGGAATAAAATGAACAATAAAAAATCTATATCAGGTAAATTATATCCCATTAATAAATGCGATAAAGGATGATTTGAGGAAAATCTCCATGGGAACGCTGTCCTGGATAGGTCAGATAAATATTATTAGGATGATCATAGTACCAAACGTTTTATATAAATTTATTATGCTTCCAATATATCTACCAGGGTCTTTTTTTAGGACCCTTAAAAAAATAATACTCAGATATGCACGAGTCAATAAAAAATCAAGAGTTATATATGGAGTTTATGACTTAATAATAAAAAAGGGGGATTAAATATTCCAGATTTTAAGAGATATCATAATTTGGTGTTATTATCACGAATTGCAGATTGGATACATAAGGCACGGGGGAGAAGTTGGGTAAAAATATAGAGTTCAGTTAGAAAGGCACCATTAGATAGGATCATTTGGATACCACATGAGTACTGCACTTTGAATGAAGACACAAGCACTTTGACACTGAATGTATTAAGGATTTGGGATGAAATGCACAAGCAGAAGGATTGGAAGTTCAATTCATTGTCAATTCCGTTGGTGGGAACTAAGTTTTTCCCACCCGGGAATGATAATATTTCAGGGAAATGGATAAATGATAGAAACACACGTTTAAAAGATATTGTGGATAAGGGGGATTTATGTTCTTTACACGATTTAAAAAATAAGAAGGAAATATTTTTTACACTGGATGAATGGCGGTATTATCAAATAAGACATTTTGATGCAAAGTTCCCACAACCACTAAGGACCGAGGAAGAAATATATCTGTCACAGTCTGGGTCAGGTTCAGAGACCGGTTGCTATAGCAGTGTTAAGGCTTACCTGAAACCAGCAGGATAGGTACACAGGCAGGTCACCCTGGGAAATGACGCAGGTTCACCTGAGGTGCGGGGTCTAAGCACTAACCAGTTTTCACCAGAGCTCCTAATGGTGGAGATGGATTTGGCTGCGTGTTAGTACCAGGTCGCAGATCTCAGGATCACCCCACCAGGGAATGAGCAAGCCAGAATCCAATAGCAAATTGATCAGGTTAGGGATCAAGCAAAAGTGGAGTCAGTCAACAAACCAAGGGTCGGTCTCAAACGGTAGTAAATGAGGATGAGGCAGAATCATAGTCCAGTAACAAGCCAAAGGTCGGTAGTAAAGGTATAGATGGCAGCAGGAGAGACAAGCAGGATATTGGCTGGAGGAGGCACAATAATCTGGCAAACAGGAAATGCAGAGACATGGCTTTTATCAGGAAGTTCACAGGAGGAGCAAGGGGTTCAAGGTTCAAGATAAACAAGGTCAAGGTAGGATCATCCAAATAATTGTCAAGGGAGCTGTCCAGCATTCCAGGTGGCTCAACAAGAAGAAACATTACTTCTCACCGCACAAGGCCCAGGTTCAAACCCAGGTTCTGACAGTATCCTTTAGAGCAACTGTTTAGCTCAAATAGAATACAAAAACAGGCTACCTCTAGGATTTATAAAATCATTACTGAAATAGATGGACCGGTATCCCAGATATTTCTGGATAAGTGGGAAATGGAGCTTGGAACAAAATTGAACGAGCAACAAAAAAAATAAATTGTTTAGACTAATACATGGGGCGGTGAATATGAATATAGTTTAAATTAATTATAATGTCTAGTAAGATGGTATATTACCCCTAATGTGATGCATAAGCTAAGGCCAGAGATCTCACCCCAGTGTTGGAGGAGATGTGGGAGTAAGGGTACAATGGCACCTATTTGGTGGGATTGCCCTAAAATATAGAAGTTTTGGAGGGAGATAATTCAATATATACAAAAGATATATATATACAAGAAAGCAGAGCTCTCGGTGAAGCAATATAAAAATGCGATACTGTTCCATCTTTTAAATGTGGCCAACAGCCTTATTCATAAATACTGGCAAACAATAGAGCCCCCCCAAAAAAAAGATTGGACAGAAAGAGTCGGGTATATATACAAGATGGAAGAATTATATCATATAGAGTAGGATAAAATGGAAAAATTTAAAAAATCCTTGGAAGGATGGTATAATTTGAAAAAATCAAAAAGATACCTAGAAGTGGTGGAGTCTAAGGGAAAGAAGAAAATTATTGGTAATAGGAATAAGAGTATGGGAATGATAGGAGAGAAAGAAAAGGATAAGGGGGGGAGTCAGATAGAACAACAGTAGAAGAACAAGAAGTAAATGGAAGGATTAAGAAGAATAGGGAAGGTTGGTGGGTAGGGAAGGTTGGTGGGTAGGGGAGGGGGGGTAAATAAAGCAATCAGAAAAGATAATTAAATATGGTTTTCTGTATTTTATGCTGTTTGCTATAAAGTGGATTTGTATTATAAAATTAATAAAGATATGATATTAAAAAAAAACCACTTTTGAGGGACAATAGCACAAGTACTGCAAACACATAAAACAAACATCAAAACAATCTTAGTGGGGCGTTGACCATGGTGCACAATATCCCTCCCCCCCAAAAAAAAATACCAAGGACTGACAGCAAATAATCTGGCCTCTTCTCAGGCCAAGCAAACCCCACTACTGCATTTATATTACATAGGTTGTATTCTTAGCAAACCAAACAGCTACACACCTCCAATAAGGGACAGTGTCATTCAATCTGTCTCTTAATGTATGCTTAGTGTTTGCACCTGATTAGCAGGCACACATACTCTTTCCAACTGTGGCTCTTGGCTATGTGCATCAATTTACAGACTACAGGACAAAGATCCAAGTCCAATAGCATGCACAGAAAGAAAGCAATAGTTATATAAGCATATGTACCTGTGCAGTGCACAACAGAAAATGTGAAATGTCCAAGTCCCGGGGCATGATCAGTTTGTAAAAAAAGAAAAAAAAATACAAGTTATAAATCCTTGGACATGTGCAGGGTACAGAGCAGGAAATCTCACATCTGCGAGGGCTGCTTCACCCAAATTGCTGACAAGCACATTCGTCATCAGCATCCAAAACACATATCCAAAATTTCCCATCTACTCCAATGGCTCTAGTTCAGTCTAGTGCAGTATGTTCTTGTGCAGCCCACCAAGTTAGAATATGAATAATATGTTCTGCATGGACCTACACCAGAACATGGCCAAACACCTCCTAGACACACTGTAATGCATTTTTGCCTGTTAGGAGACGGCACCTGCTGGCATCATAACAACCTGTGACTCAATCCTGCTGTCAGCAGTGATTCCCCAATGACAGCAGAATGAAAACAGCATAGCCAGATGTACCAAAAGAGTATGGGCCCTTCAGTCTGTCATGGATTTGAAGGGAAACCCCATGGCCAAAAAACAATGTGGCTTCCTCCCAAAATCCCTAACACCCTTATCCGAGTATACAGTCCTGCAGGCCAGGAAAGGGGGTGGAAGAGTGAGCCCCCCCTCTCTCTCACCCCCACACACATACCTTTTATTTATAATGCCAGCTCTTTTGTTTACATTATTTGAAATGCCTCTAAAATGTACCAGATTGCAAAAAAAACACATATAAAAACATGCATTTTTATTAGTTCAGGTACTTATACAGATTTGTAAATTTCCATGCTTTACATATATACTATATTGCCAAAAGTATTGGGACGCCTGCCTTTATACGAACATGAACTTTAATGGCATCCCAGTCTTAGTGCTTAGGGTTCAATATTGAGTTGGCCTACCCTCCGCAGTTATAACAGCTTCAACTCTTCTGGGAAGACTGTCCACAAGCTTTAGGAGTGTGTCTATGGGAATGTTTGACAATTCCTCCAGAAGTGCATTTGTGAGGTCAGGCACTGTTGTCGGATGAGAAGACCTGGCTAGCAGTCTTCACTCTAATTCATCCCAAAGATGTTCTATTGGAATGAGGTCAGGACTCTGTGCAGGCCAGTCAAGTTCCTCCACCCCAAACTCGCTCATCCATGTCTTTATGGACCTTGCTTTGAGCACTGGTGCGCAGTCATGTTGGATCAGGAAGGGGCCATCCCCAAACTGTTCCCACAAGGTTGAAAGCATTTTGTATAAGAAGCAAAAAAACACAGCTAAATAAAATTATATTGGAAATTAAAAAGTTCTTAGAATATCTTTGGTGCACAGTATACTGTGTATATATATATATATATATATATATATATATTTATATTAGCCTGTTTATTAACCATCATAAATTTAGGTCAAAATGTATTCTGCTACATGTCTTTGCTAAAAAAGATCCCAATATGTGTAAATTATTTGGTTTATGTGAAAGTTATAGCGTTTACAAATGGCAATATAGATACTGGAATTTTTTTTTTCACTAGTAATGGCAGCAATCAGCAACTTATAGCGTCACTGTGGTGGGCATTCTGACACTGGGGGGAAACTGATTTGGTGTCATTGACATCTCCAGTGACACCAATACAGTGATCAGTGGTAATAAAAAGCACTGACACTAATACTAATGGCACTGGGCAGGAAGGGGTTAACATGTGGGGCGATCAAAGGGTTAAATGTGTGCTGTTTTACTACGTGGGTTGTGTCTGTGTTTTACTGTAAGCACACTGCTTTGTATGGCTCTGCATAGCAGAGCCATACAAAGCAGTGTGCAAGAAAGAGCCGACAGGGGAGAGATCTGTATTGTTTGAATAGAGGTCTCTTCCCTGTCAGAGATACTAGGCGATCACTGGGTGCAGGCGAGTAATAACCATCCGAGACTCAGTGATTGACAGCCAAGGCTGCGAATGGCAGCACAGGGAGGGTGCGCGCGGCTCGAGTGCACCCCTTACCTGGAGCTGCAAAATCACATATATATATGTGATTTTCCCTCATCGGATGCGATGTGAGGGAAGGTTGTAACAAAGGATCTTCAAGAAGAAAGAGCCAATGTTTTGACAATATCTTTTCCATTATTCTGTGTTTAGCATGAAATTGGGCTGTGAACCTAATAGGCTATATGGTGTTCCTGAAACTAAAGATTGTTGCAAGAGTATAGTTGAAAAGCTTCCTGAATAAGGGGGGCCAGATACCCCTTATCCAAGAATTTCTCTGTTAGTTGATCACCATGTATAAAATAATCTTCATCCCAAGTGCAGTTGTTACACAGCTGACAGATCTGGCTCTTGTGTATGTTGGATAACCATCTTAGGTGGCGGCAACCAGAGAAATGGAGGAAGGAGTTGATTTGACATAATTCCTGGTGTGTATTTGGTGACCTTCATGGCACATCTCTAGGTCTAAAAATGCTAAAGTATCAGAATCACAGATATAAGTGAAAGAGCGTTCCAAGTTGTTATGGTTGCAGTACTGGGCAAAGGAATCTACTAAATAATCATGGCCATCCTATATGATAACCATACTGTCAATACAACAACCGTAAAATATGATATTGGCAGCATTGGGATTATTCTTCTAGATGGGCAAGGATTCCCAGTACCTCATTGTAAGGTTGGCATAGCTGAGGCAAAATTAGCCCCCATGGCAGTGTCATTGGTCTGTAAATTAAAGGTACCATCAAACTCAACTAACTCTTAAAATGCTAGCCTAAAGCTAATAATTATTTAAAGGATACATTCACCTTTGATTATGGTAGAGGTGGACTGACCATTCAAGCACTCGGGCACTGCCCGAGGGCCCGGGGCCAGTAGGGGGCCCCATTAAATGCCCTTGGTACCTTTTTATAGGCTTTTTTGGGTGTGGGCAAGGACACAGGGGCCCCATGATCCCATATTGCCCGGGGGCCCCATGAGTTGTCAGTCCACTCCTGTATAGGTTGCATCCTTATTTGGGGTGTAATATGTTCGGCATCCTCCTCCCTCACCACTCAATCTCCCCCTTTCCTGTGACAGCAGGTGGGGTTTCTTCTCCCCATACCCACTGTTACATTTCAAAACAATGCGGTTGTGCAGTGCTCCAACTGCGCAGCCATGTCATTCATTCACAGGAATCCATAAATGAGAAAACTACAAGTCCCATCTTCCACCAAGGCAGACGGCTTGTACTGTAATACTCAATGAACTACCAGGGAGCTGACCTGCACCCTCGTAGTTCACTGACAGCTCTATCATCTGAGCTTGCCCGTACAGAGATATGGGCAGAGAGCTCTTGGCAGTGTCTGCCTGACATTGAACTCGCAATCCATTGAATGTAGGTTCTGCAGGCTGAATTGTAAAAAATATATTCAATTCACATTTTTATATGCAAAATCATGTGCATTTATTATTTTCTTACAAAAGGTGAACTTAGCTTTAATACCAGTAAACTTCCTAACACCTGACCTCTGCCATCACCCAACCTTTAAACAGCACCACTAAGGGCCCCTTTACACCATTGTTCTACTACATTATGCAGTAGCACATTATTATGTGCTTTGGTGCACTGCAGTGCCATTACTTTTGAATAACCTCAATGCACCTGCTTTACTGCTAATGATAATGCAACACTGTGCAATGTAATTGCGTTTCGTTAGCAAAAATGCTGCAGTTGAAGTTTTAGGTCTGTTGTGGTGAACTACTCAACCCATTCTAACTCATGCATATGTTAAACTCACAAAAACAAACCTGACCATTACAAATGGGCCCCAATCCTTTCTCCTAATATTAATGAAGTCTTAGCTCCTATCATGATTAACCATTAGCCGCCTGGCCAATAGCCGTTTGGCGGTCGGAAAAATGCATTAGATTTCCGGGTGGACACCATATGGCGTCCTCCCGGGCATGCGCAGTTTGCGCACTTGCAAAGCCACGCAGCGACGTGATCTGTCACCAGCCGTGTACCTCGGACACGGCCGATGACAGATCTGAGTACCGGTACCATGTGACCTGCTGTGACCAATCACAGAAGGTCACATGACAGTTGTATACAATGGATGGCTTCATTCATGCCATCCATTGTATACTAGTGTCTAGCTGTGAATGGTCACAGCGATCACATGCACATGACATGTGATTAGCTGTGGCCAAATCATAGCTAAGCACAAAAAAAAAAAAAACCCTGAATGAATCGATGTCATTCAGGTAAATGCTTGCTTATAGCAAAGTAATTCTTTGCTATACGCAAATTGTTAAAAAAAAAAATGCTGATCACGTTCCCCAAAGTAGTACAATGTTACTATGGTAACATTGTACTACTTTGGTCATAGTGAAAAAAATATGAAAAAAAATCTTAAAAAAAAGAAAAAAAAAATTGTGAAAATAATTAAATTTTTTCATTTTCCGAAAAATTAGACAAAAAAAATACAACTTCAAAAAAACTCGCCATGCCTCTTATGAAGTACACAGGACTGTCTACTTTGCAAAAAGGGGTCATTTGGGGGATATCTGTACTGTTCTGACATTCATGGACCTCAAGAAATTAGATTGACTGTCAGTACTTCAGGATTGATCAATATTCAGATCTATACCATAGTTTGTGAACTCTATAACTTTCCTACAAACTAAAAAATACATCCTAATTTGGGTTATTTTCACCAAAGACATGTAGCAGAATACATCTTGGCCTAAATTTATGAAGAACAATTATTTATTTGCAAACTTTTATAACAGAAACAAAGAAAAACGTGTTTTTTTTTTAATTTTCTGTCTTTTTTTGTTAATTTAGCAAGAAATAAAAACCACGGCGCTGATTAAATACCACCAAAAGAAAGCTCTAGTTGTGTGAAGAAAATGATAAAATTTTAGTTTGGGTACAATGTTGTATGACCGCGCAATTATCATTCAAAGTGTGAGAGCGCTGAAACCTGAAAAATGGCCTGGGCAGGAAGGGGTAAAAGTGCCCGGTATGGAAATGGTTAATAAAGTTAATTTCATTTTGAAAACTGAATCAATGCTTGAACTGGTCTGATGCTTTTCTAATACCATATGTTTCAGCAACCAAAGATAAATTTGCCCATAGATGGATCGATTCTCGGCTGGTTCAGCATGGACTGGCTGTGATTCAATCCATCTATGGTCAGGCCAATTGTACCCAAGTCGATCCATCGATCAACCTGGGTACAATCAGCCTGTCAGATTTATAACATTTGATTGCTGCTTGCGGCTACAGCTACTAGCAGTAATCATTGTATTCTGCCAACCCGGGAAACCTGTGCCCCTCTCCTGCCGGCAGAACACAATAAAGCTACTGGAGGAATTTCCCCACCATAACTGACTGTACTGATGGGAGAATCGAGTGATTGATCTAATATTCTCTGGCTTGCCTTACAGTCAGATAGACGCACCAAAAATAGCACTCCGAAGGAAGAGATGAGTGTAAAGTAATTGAGCTTACAGATACTAGTTTCTATACATATGATTGCATAGAGAAAAGACTTGATCTTGGATGTTTCGTAATCCAGATACAAACTCATGGTTTTGTTCATTTATATCTGTTTTGCACTAATGTAACCAGGGGCGGACTGACCATTCGAGCACTCGGGCACTGCCCGAGGGCCCGGGGTCAATAGGGGGCCCCATGAAATGCCCCTGGTACTTTTTATAGGCTTTTTTGGGTGTGCTTTGAGTGTGGGCAAGGACGCAGGGGCCCCATGATCCCCTATTGCCCGGGGGCCCCATGAGTTGTCAGTCCACCCCTGAATGTAACTCTTTTAAATGAAGTCATCACACACCAGTCACATTCAACTAAAACTTTCTGTGTAATATTTTATTGATTATGGTTTAAAAATGAATCCGCTAATCACGTTAATCAACAAAGGACAGGTAAAAATGTTTAGCAAAGGCAAGCACCAAAATTGCATTTCAATATTTCTCATAAGTACCTGCATTGTATTTTATTGTGTTATTTGTTAAATATGTTCAACATAGCCAAATTAATTTATCATTTTAATTTTGCTGCTCCTGACAAATTTGCCATATTTATGGATATGACTAATAATATTTACTGAGACATATGTGAACCAACGTAGAGTATATAGTTTTAGAATTACAGGACTACTTATTTTTTGTAGTGTGCATTTGATAACTTTGTCAACATTAATAAAGCTTGCTGCTAATAAAGTTTTTCTCAGAGGACGGTGGGATGGAAACAAACTCTGCATTACAATGCAAACTGCACCATCTTTAAATCAGAAGTGAATAGAAAAGGAAAATCAATACTGAACAGCCTGTATTGTATCCTTAGAGATTTGCTTTTTTATTATTCTTGTTGAACTTGTCTTTACATTTTAGTTCTCTCCAAAGATTTAAGAAGAGTGAATTAGCTCCATGCCATTCTAGGATCAGCCTAGAGCCAGATTTAAAACCTCAGGCAACATAACTAATACAACTGTGAAAGAATCCCAGTGCCTAAGAAAATGTTTGATGTAAAGGTAATACTAGCAATGCCAGATGCACCAAGTAAGATGAAAGAAATGAAAGTTTTCAAAGCACATTCATGTGATCATGGAACTGAGAAATGTGTTTGTTTTTTGCTAACTGTAACCATGCAATCCTATAAGCCAGAAGCACTGACATCTCACAGTTTGGAGCCATATTTTAAAACTCAGACAGTTTTATCTAGAACTAACTATACCTTGACCATAAATCAAAATGTGTTGTTTTAGACATGAAAAGTATTTAATCATAAATATTTTAAAACAATCGTAACACAATTTATACAATTTAATATAATAATAACAACAATATACAATTTAATGGAATACATTTAGGAAACTGTGTAAACCCTGGGTGAAAGTCATGTGAAAATATTTAAAAATGAACCCCCTTGTATATATAAAGGCATTTTGTTTCCCAGTTTAAGATTGCTTAGTTTTTATTGCTGACTGCATCTCCACTTGTTTTATACTAGAGAGTATTGTCAATGAAACATAATGTAAGGGAAGTACAAAATTTCCATAGCAAGAGGTAATGGAATCTCTACCAATAGGGATACCTATTCTTGCGACAACTTTCTAAGATGGGATCTCCATTCATTTTGAAGAGAAAATTGCCCTTATTTCCTGTATCTCCAGTACATGAAATGAATGAAAAATGTTCCAGTGGGACCAATACAAATAACCTGGGGCTTTAACCCTTCCCTACTCTCGTAAACGCGTGCCGACCGCCCACAGTACTTGTACTGATTGTACTGGTACGTCGCTTTAGCTGTACTAACACAGGGGGGTGCTACGCCCCCCCTTCCCAGGTCCCGGTGATCACGTGATAACTATGCGTTCACATGATCACAATGTTAGCAAAGCTGTTATCAATCAATCATTCTGATTCTTAACAGCTTTGCTTCTCTTCCTGGTGAGCTGGGATTGGCCCACAGCTCTCACATGGTACATGGGCCAATCACAGCACCCTGCACCATATGATTAGTTGTAGCCAATCACAGATCACTAGTATTTTGAACTGTTATGAACTAAACCAATTTATGACAGTTAAAAGCAAGCATTGCAGGAGTAATCATCTGTATTGCTCCTGCAATGCAAAGTGTAAAAAAAAAAAAAAACCTGATCACCCCTCCCCCAGAGTAGTACAATGTTACTATACTATTGAACTGCTCTGGTAAAAAAAAAAAAAAAAAATATTGGGAACTTTTTTTTTTTTTATTAACGTTTTTTTTAAGAACTGCTTGCTGACCACCCACCAGCAATGTGCGAATGAGCAACAGCTCTAGGAAAAGAGATGTTCCCTTACATCGCTTTCTATTTCCAGGTGTGAGTGCACATGGGCACCCCCTCTGGCTGCCCCCCCTGTTGGTCCAGGGGAGAAAAGAGAGAACACCACACTGTGAGCAAAAGCACTACATTTTACACACACCTTAGATTAGCACATTTAACCCTTTGATCGATTGCTTCTATTAACTCTTTGATCTCCCCTGCCACCCAGCCAGTGCCATTAGTACAGTGTTAGTATTGAGAATTGTTCACTGATCACAGTATTACTGCCACTTGCAATGTCAGGTAGCTTTAGGGTCAGTTAGCACCCCTTCTAGCCAGGGTCAGCTAGCATTAGATTGCCCGCACACTATTGCACTCACGTTATAGGTCACTGATTGCCACCTTTACTAGTATAGTGTTTGTACAGATCAATATATAAATTTGAAAAATAACTATACTAGTGCCCCCTAAGTATAGTGTCCCCAAAAATGCAGTGTTAGCAGGAGTAGCTCTGTTGGCTGCCAGCACTAGCCTTTAGCCCCTCCTCTGTTTTTCATGCAAGATTTGTATCAATTGATTGTGGGCCAAAGCAATTTATACGCACAACAATACATCGCCACCCACCCAAATTCAGCTTTTGCCAGACAATTTGCATGGAAGCCGGTATCCGAATGTAAAATTTTTGGGGCCTAACCCTCAGCATGGACATTACAAAAAAGAATAAATTGCAGTCATATTGGTCCACACACCCGATTCATCATACATCCATGTTCTTTGCTGAGATTGCACCATGTACTGTATGTGAGGTACCACTGCTAATGTAAGATCGAGAACAGTAATTCTAGAGCTAGCCCTCCTGTGTAAATCTAATGTGGTAACCTGTAAAGGTTTTTAAAGCTTCACCTATGGATATTAAAAATATTTGTTATCTATTTACTCAGCATAACATCACATTTTATATATAATCAAACAATTGGGCAATATATTGTGTTTTTTGTGCATTTAAAATTCTAAAAAGTGTATTTCTTCCCATAAATTTGCATTTGAAATGTTGTTGTGCAAATACCGTGTGATATAAAAAATTGCAACACCCACCGGTTTATTCTCTACGCTTCTGCTTTTAAAAAAAAGTAATGTTTAGGGGTTAATTTTCTAGCAAAAAAACTTTGTTTTCCTGTAAACAAAAAGTGTCAGAAAAGGTTTGGTCTTCAAGTGGTTAAAAGAGTGGGTGATGTGTAAGCTTCTAATGTTGGCCCAGAATTGCAAACAAAAATTTTTTTTTTCTTTTAATTTTTCCTTTTTCAAAACCCTGACAAAAAATATCTGAAAATTCTCACCATGTCTACTTTCCAAAAAGTGGGTAATATGTGGGCGGTGTTTGTACTATCCTGGCATTTTAGGGCCTCAGAAACTGTAATAAGTAGTGAGGATATGACAGGAGGAAATATGTCCTTTGAAAGCCTGAAGGTGGTCATTGGATTTTGGGGGCCTGTATGTGGCTAGGCTGCCAAAAAAGTATCTCACATGTGGTATCCCCTTACTCAGGAATAAGTAACAGAATGTGTTTGGGGGTTTTATTAGTTTAACGCAGTTAGCCAGCTTAAACATGTATTGCAATATATGTGAACTAAAAATCTCTATTTTTATTGCAAAGTTTGCTGGAAAGGTTATATAGCAGTGTGCAGAGGGTTTTTCCTGGATTTTTAGGGTTAACATGTGGTTACACCCCTTTAACACATTTTGAGGTCAGGCACTGATATCATACAAGAAGGCCTGGCTTGCAGTCTCCACAGTCTTTCTAATTCTCACCAAAGGTGTTCTGTCGGGTTGAGGTCAGAACTCTGTGCAGGCCAGTCAGGTTCCTCCACCCCAAAATCACTCATCCATGTCTTTTTGGACCTTGCTGCGTGCAGTGGTGTGCAGTCATGTTGGTACAGGAAGGGGCCATCCCCAAACTGTTCTCACAGAGTTGGGAGCATGAAATTGTCCAAAATGTCTTGGTATGCTGACACCTTAAGAGTTCCTTTCACGGGAACTCAAGCCCAACCCCTGAAAGACAACTCCACACCATAATCCCCCCTCCAACAAATTTTACACTTGACACAATGCAGTCAGGCAAGTACCATTCTCCTGGCAACCTCCAAACCCAGACATGTCCATCGGATTGCCAGACAGAGAAGCGTGATTAATCACTCCAGAGAACCTGTCTCCACTGCTCTAGAATCCAGTGTCTAGTCTAGAGTGTGCTTTACACCACTCCATCTGACACTTTGCATTGCACTTGGTGATGTAAGGTTTGGATGCAGCTGCTCAGCCATGGAAACCCATTCCATGAAGCTCTCTACGCACTATTGTTGTGCTAATCTGAAGGTCACACAAAGTTTGGAGATCTTTAGCTATTGACTCTGTAGACAGATGGCAACTTCTGCTCACTGTGCGCTACCACATGTGCTGACCCCACTCTGTCATTTTACGTGGCCTGTTGTTGTTGCTGCTGTTCCCAGTTTCTTCCACTTTGTTATCATATCACTAACAGCTAACCGTGGAATATTTAGTAGCAAGGAAATTTCAAGGATGGATTTATTGCACAGATGGCAACCTATTACGGTACCAAGCTTGAATTCACTGAGCTCCTGAGAGGGACACATTCTTCTACAAATGTTTGCATGTCTAGGTGCTTGATTTTATACACCTGTGGCCATGAAGGTGATTGGAACACCTGAATCCAATGATTTGGAGGGGTAATCCAATACATTTGGCAATATAGTGTATATTCTAAATACTTTTTTCATAAATGATCACATGACCTCCATTGTCAGCTGCCTATGGGGCAGAGAGGTGGGGGAGGAGAATCCTTGTGAAGATGGGCAGGGTGTGGCAGCAGCAGCTTGAGCACAGACACAGTCTAGTGTAAAATGCAAAGGCAGAAATACACTGTGACAATGGAATACAGGCAGCTGTGCTTCCAAGTAGTTCTTTAAAAAAATCCTGTTATACATCAAAACAGTTCCAGAAGGGTCAGATCAAAATGGAATGGAATTCATATGTATCAGGAGAGTCGGTAAGGAAAATAAAGGCTTGAGAAAGGTGGCATATC